TGGGTAGTGAAAACGTCTTCAAGAAAAGCACCAGGCTCGCAGAGCACCGAAGACCTCACAGTCCTCCTCCTCTTCCTCCTCCTCCTCCTCCACCTCCTCCTCCTCCTCCTTGTAAACCCCACTCCCTGCTATCACTGATGATGTTCCCTAGTTGGGTAGTGAAAACGTCTGCAAGAAAAGCACCAGGCTCGCAGAGCACCGAAGGCCTTACAGTTTAACCCTCAGCTACAAACATCCTCTTCTATCAACATTCTCGACTTTTTCAAAGCTTTGAGCCTTCAGGAAACCGGATGAGGATGCAAGCAAACCCAAGATCTGTTTATTTCTTGGGTGTTCCAAATATGCGGCCGTCATCTCGCTGGCTGAAATCCTTTCTCTGCCTCCATGAGTGGGAGAAGGGGGCGGACGGGCTGGATTACGGAGTCCCTTACACGGAGGCCCTCTTACAAATCCTGGTTTTTAGAAACGAGGGAAACCCGCGGGGGGGCGCTGGGTCTTGGAGTCCTTTTTCTGTTCCTCTATGGACTTTTCATCCTCTCTTCCCCCCCTGCCCCCCAAGGAAGATCCTGCGTGAGCTTGTGGCTGCTGGGGTTTTTATCTCACCGATGTCCTATAGAGACGATGGTGCGTTTCTCCTTGCAAACTGGGAACTGCGAGTGACTCAGGGATCTGGCGCTTTCCAGCTCGGGGCTGTGGGAAACTGAGGACGTGAGTCATGGTGCAGCTTACGCAGAAGGCTGAATAAGGACGAGCAGGATGGAAGTCAGAAGGAGCATTGTAGAATCGGCTTGGATTGCTGAGACAAAACCCCCCACCATGAATCGGTCTCCAAAGGTGCTTTTTAAAAAGAGGCCAGCTCCCTTCTCCTGTGCAGGGCAACCAAAGGAGATCCAGCTGATCATCTGGGACTCAATGGGAGGCGGAGAATAGATGGGGGCGGGGCCAGTCAGAGGCGGTATTGGCCGGTTCTCCGAACTACTCAAAATTTCCGCTGCCGGTTCTCCAGAACTGCTCCGAACCTGCTGAATACCACCTCTGAGGGGAAGGCCGTAAAATAGGACATGGCTCACTTAGTAACTGCCTTGCTTAACCGATGGAAATTCCATTGTGGTTGTAAGTCAAAGACTACCTGTAGGTGGAAGATTCTGTGTATGGAGACCCCCAGCAGAGAAGCCTGCTGTCTTCCCATCATCGTAAACCCAGGAGATGTGGTTATATCCAGAAGAGGAAGTGATATTTCTCATCTTAAATGTAATTTTTGTGGAAATTACAGAAATCCTGCCTCCTGACGACCCATTTTCAACAGTTTTTATTCAGCAGGCCGTCCTCCACTTAATGACTGCAATTAAGCCCAACATTTCTATGGCCAAGTGCGACCTTTGAGAGGCGAATGTTGCCCCACTTGACGCCTTTTCTTGCCATGGTTGTTAAGAAGAGACTAGAATACTTTTTTTTTTTTTAATTGACCAAGTGTGATTGGACACACAAGGAATTTGTCTTGCTGTAAATGCTCTCAGGGTATATAAAAGAAAAGATACATTGGTCAAGAATCATAAGGTATAACACTTAATAATAGTCATAGGATACAATAAGCAATCCAATCCTACTAGGAAACAGTCCATATAAATCATAAGTACACAAGTGACAAAGTTACAGGCATACACTCACAAGTGGGAGGGGATGGGTGATAAGGAGTGGTGATCTATCTATCTATCTATCTATCTATCTATCTATCTATCTAGAATAGAAAATAGAATAGAAAATAGAATAGAATTCTTTATTAGCCAAGTGTGATTGGACACACAAGGAATTTATCTTAGGGAAAATGCTCCAGTGTACATAAAAAAAAATACATTGGTCAAGAGTCAAGAATCATAAGATACACTTAATGATAGTCATAGGGTACAATAAACAAATCTTACTAGGAAACAGTCAATATAAATCGTGAGGATACAAGTGACAAAGTTACAGACATACAATCCCAAGTTGGAGGGGATGGGTGATAAGGAGTGATGAGAAGATTATATAGAATAGAATAGAATAGAATAGAAAATAGAATAGAAAATAGGATAGAATATAGAATAGAATAGAATCAAAAATGGAATAGAATCAAAAATAGAATAGAATAGAATTCTTTCTTGGCCAAGTGTGATTGGACACACAGAGAATTTGTCTTGGTGGGAATGCTTTCACCGTACATAAAAGAAAAGATACTTTCATCAAGAGTCAAGAATCATAAGATACAACAATAATAGTCATAGGGTACAATAAGCAATCAAATCATACCAGGAAACAGTCAATAAAAATCATTAGGGTGCAAGCAATAAAGTTGCAGTCATACAGTCACAAGTGGGAGGGGGTGGGTGATAAGGAGTGATGAGAAGATTAATAGTAATAGTAATGCAGACTTAGTAAATAGTTTGACAGCGTTGTGGGAATAAGCTGTTTAGTAGAGTGATGGCATTGGGGAAAAAACTCCTTGTTTCTAGTTGTTCTGGTGTGCAGTGCCCTATAGCGTCGTTTTGAGGGAAGGAGTTGAAACAGTTTATGTCCGGGATGTGAGGGGTCCGTAGATATTTTCACAGCCCTCTTTCTGACTCATGCAGAATACAGGCCCTCCATGGAAGGCATGTGGGTAGTAATTGTTTTTTATGCAGTCCTATTTATCCTCTGAAGTCTGTATCTGTCCTGTTGGGTTGCAGAACCAAAACAGACAATTATAGAGGTCCAGATGACAGACTCAATCATTCCACTGTAGAACTGGATCAGCAGCTCCTTGGGCAGTTTGAGCTTTCTGAGTTGGCGCAGAAAGAACATTCTTTGTTGTGCTTTTTTGATGACGTTTTTGATGTTAGGTGTCCATTTTAGGTCATGTGATATAGTAGAACCTAGAAATTTGAAGGTCTCTACTGTTGATACTGTGTTGTCTAGTATTGTAAGAGGTGGTAGCATGGGAGGGTGTCTTCCATCTCTACGGTTTTGAGTGTGTTCAATAAACACGCGTCCGTTGCCAAGCGTCTCACTTTTGACCTTGGAGAGGCTTCAATGGTCATAAGCCAGAAAAAACGCTCCTACCTCGCTTTTTCCAGCGCTGTTCTCACTTCGAATGGTCACTCAATGAACCATTATAAGTTGAGGACCTGTATTAAGAACCTAAGCTCCTATGATTGCAGCTGGATATCCCAACCGAACTCAACCCCAGCAGTTCTCAAAATTCCCATTCTCTTTTTTTAAATTTTGGATTATTCCCCCACAACCCAC